AAACCGAATATCTTTACAAAATAATACACTGTAGTGTAGTGTAGTTGTAACAGCAAATACACTACATCCACAAATTTAGACAAATTCAACGATGTGCTGTTTAGGGTAATAGAAGTTTATGTACAAATACTAGACCACGTAGAACGAAACCTAGACGTGGGACAAGTTATAAGCTTTTATTGACCGCATTGATTTTATTACATTGGTTTTGTCTTTGATATGATTGATGATATAAAAGTAGTTTGATTGGTGCTTTGGCATGATTTGTGCAAAGCATGTACACTGTTATGTAACTCAGTTTTATCAGATCAAATGACTCTCTCCACCCACCCTCCTACAATGTGAAGACACTTAAGGGATAGAAACAACTATTTCTATACAGGAAGTGGGTTCGGAGAGGCAGGGGTGAAGATACCACTCCCTGGTACATCTAAGAACAGCTCGTGGAACAGAAAAGAAATATAAGAAATACTGACTTGAATGCGCGCCAAATATTGAGGAAAGTAAAAGGTCGAAAGAGATACGGCATCTTGTAAATCGGGTGAGGAGCAAAACAAACTGCCTCACACATATATAATCATATATGTGTGTACATACATAAATATATTCACACACACACACACACACACACACACACACACACACACACCACACACACACACAATATATATATATATATATATATATATATATATATATATATATATATATATATATATATATATATGTTTGTGCCGTGGCCGTGCGTGTGTACGTGGGCGTGGTGTATGTGGGATACAATGTAACACTTATTGAATGACTCAGAGTTATCTCTTCGTGATTACTAAGGCCACAAAGGCACCAATAATTGTGTGGCCGTATTTTTAATCGTATTTTTTGGTGTAGTACGGGCACGGAATTTATCCGGCCTATATCGTACCGTACCGTACGTTGAAGAAAAAATATCGTACGTATTTCCGTACTTTTGGACAACATGCCTTGCTCCATACATCAGTGCCCTGCTCCTTCCTGCGGTGTAAACAAGTCTGGATCCCTGTCTTCTGGCTCGACTCTTCAGCTGGATCCTTGAGACCTGACCTGGCTTATATGCGAGTGCAAGCTCATGCTCAGTGGGTGCCACACGGTAGTAATGATAATGTTAATGATAATAATAGTAATTATATTTATACATATATACATATATGAACACACACACACTCAGACACACACACACAAATATATATATATATATATATATTATATATATATATATATATATATATATATATATATATATATACATATATATGTATGTAAATACATGTGTGTGTGTGTGTGTGTGTGTGTGTGTGTGTGTGTATGTATGTGTGTGTGTGTGTGTGTGTGTGTGTGTGTGTGTGTGTGTGTGTGTGGTATATATAATATATATATATATATATATATATATATATATATATATATATATTATATATATATATATATAACATAGAGGTGGAAAGCACCGGCTGCCATTAGATGTGAACGTAAAATCACCGCCTGCTACCAGATGTGAACGTAAGACCACTGCTTGGGGGCCCTTAGTGTATGAAAGGAGTCCTGGCTTGTGGGTTTATTTGCTGAAGGTAGACGTGAGACCCTATGAGACATCTCTCCCCTGGGTGCCGAGAGCAGCGTGATGACAAGCTAGACCCCGTGTGTCTTCGTCTGTCTGCCATCTCTCTCCGTCTGTCTGCCATCTCTCTCCGTCTGTCTGCCATCTCTCTCCGTCTGTCTGCCATCTCTCTCCGTCTGTCTGTCTGTCCATCTCTCTCCGTCTGTCTGCCATCTCTCTCCGTCTGTCAGCCATCTCTCTCCGTCTGGTCTGCCTCTCTCTCTCGTCTGTCTGCCATCTCTCCGTCCTGTCTGCCATCGTCTCCTCTCTCCGTCTGTCTGCCATCACTCTCCGTCTGTCTGACAACATTTTTTATGCCAGTGGTTCCCAACCTTTTTTGCAAGCGACCCTAATCATGCACCTTCAGACATGACCGCGACCCCAGTTTGTTCTACAGTGTATTGGTATATATTATATCAATATATTATATTTTCATATGTATATTATTTAACAGACATATGAATAATTCGACACACAAAAACCCACAATTATGATTATATTTTCTTTGGTTCGAGATTCATCAGAATTCAGTGGATCTTTTTTTCGACTGCATTTCAAGTAATTGTGCAACCATCAAGCAAAATTTAGCCATTACCTCTCAATCAATTTGTGATTATGTATTTGCTGAAAACATCAAAATTGGGAATTGACAACGTCTGATATTTTGGGGGCCATGCTCGGATAACACACTTGGGATTGTGACTCTAGGGTTGGAAAAGGATGCTTGTTTCCACCTGCAGAAGTGTCAGACGTGAAGGACATGCGTCCGCTTCTCTCCTCTCTCTCTCTCTCTCCCTTCGTTTCTCTCTCTCTCTCCCTCCCTCCGTTTCTCTCTCTCACAGGGAAGGCAAATGCTGGGGACAGAGGTGTGATGCATGCCATCTAGTCTTGGATATATTGTTTACATCACTGACGAACTAGACCCCGTGTGTAGTCGTCTGTCTGTTGTCTCTCTCCCCTGTCCAGCGAGGTGTCTGCGGCTCTCCCCTCGAGAGTAGGTGGTTGCTTCCACCCGCTGGAGTCAACTGGCTTGAGTGTGGAATGTGCAAAGCAGCTGCTCCCGCTGGTGATGTAGACACAGAAGGACTTCGACAGGAAGACAGTCAATATGCCCTTTTTATCTTACAGGTAATAAATTTTAAATGTGAATGTATTATTGAATTGCTGTCAAAGGAAGTTTGTTTATAAATATTTTAAGCCATAAAATTATAGATAAAAATAGGAATCGAGTTAAGAGGAATGGATTCGATATCAATAGTAGTAAATGTCTTGATTTATGAATCAGTAAGCAAAAAATGAGAGGAAGGAAGGGAGGGAGAGAGAGAGAGAGAGAGAGAAAGAGGGAGGAGGTAGAGAGAGAGAGAAGAGAATGCGAGGGGAGGGAGAGAGAGACAGAGCAGGTAAAAAACACGTCTTTTCTCTGTGATGGCTGGTACGGAAATGGAGAGGGAGAGAAAAAAAAAGAGTGAGGGAGTGAGGGAGAAAAAGAGGGAGGTAGAGAGAGACAGAGAGAGAGAGAGAATACGAGGGGAAGGAGGGAGGGAGGGACAGGGTGAGAGAGAGAGAAATGCGAGAGAGAGGGAGGGATACATATATATGTGTATATATATATATATATATATATATATATATATATATATATATATGTATGTATATATATATATATATATATATATATATGTATATATATAATGTATATATATATATATATATATAATATATATATATATATATATATATATATATATATATATATATATAGAGAGAGAGAGAGAGAGAGAGAGAGAGAGAGAGAGAGAGAGAGAGAGAATATTACCTGGTAGAATGTTACCTTTCATTCAATAGTAGTTTCATTCTGTACCTTTCATGTTTCGTCTATATCAATTTTGCCAGAGCAGAGGGGGTGGGTCACTTTTAGGAGTGTCTGCAGCAGGTAATTTGTCTGGTATTGTCCATTCTGAACTCTCTCAGATCTGTTGAAGTATATAAACTTTATTTCAGGTGGTACCAATAATGTCTGATCCAGCTGATTTTTTGCTCCTTTTTGGGGTCCATGGGGTCAAACGGAACAGGGTGTCCCCGGCAGACGTCCAGTTCTTCATATGCCCCTATCATTCTCTACATGATCCTGTACTCCGCAATTGGTACCAGGTTCATTTGACCAAACTTACCCTGGCTTCCGGTCTATCTGCTTTGGGTGCGGTCAGCGTAGATACCGCTCAGATTTCTCATATAACTACTCGTGTATATGGTGTGAATTCATTAATGTTTTTTTTTCCACTTTCACTGTAAGTCGCTTTGGATCCTTATAAATATTTTATGATGTCCACGTACTCGTTTACTAGAAATCGAAAGGTCTTTGTAGGCCCCATTGTCTAGGTGATTAGGTAGGCAGAGGTCACACTAGGTCACAGCAGGTAAAAAAAAAACAGGTATTTTCTCTGTGATGGCTGGTACGGAACTGGAGAGAGAAAGAGAGAGAGTGTGAGGGAGGGAGGGAGGGAGAGAGAGAGAGAGAGAGAGAGAGAGAGAGAGAGAGAGAGAGAGAGAGAGAGAGAGAGAGAGAGAGAGAGAGAGAGAGAGAGAGAGAGAGAGAGAGAGAGAATGCGAGGGGAGGGAGGGAGGGGGAGAGAGAGGGAGGGATACACACATATGTATATATATATATATATAATATATATATATATATATATATATATATATATATATATATTATAGAGAGAGAGAGAGAGAGAGAGAGAGAGAGAGAGAGAGAGAGAGAGAGAGAGAGAGAGAGAGAGAGAGAGAGAGAGAGAGAGAGAGAGAGAGAGAGAGAGAGAGAGAGAGAGAGAGAGAGAGAGAGAGGCAGATAGGGCAGTCAGATTGAGAGACTGCGACAGGCAGAGACAGAGATACATTTATAAACAAAGACAGAAACGGAAGCAGGCAGAGACAGAGGTACTGAGAGGCCGAGACAGAGACAGACAGATAGAAGAAGCGAGAAAAGAAGGCAAAACCGAAAACAAGAAATAAAAAAAAAATTGGGAACGGAAGCCATACTGAAAGAGAAAGAGAGAAGGGAGGAAGTCGGAACGCGTGAAGAATAAGAGTTCAAAGAAATTAAAAAAGGGCAAAAACTGTAGAAGAATAGACATATAAAAGAAAGAGATCGTGCGAAAACAGGTGATAACGCAGCAAGAGAAAGAACGAAAGCGAAAGAACGGTGTAAATAAGCGAAGAGAGGAGAGGCAAGAGCACTAGAAAAGTGAGTGAGTGTTAGAAAGAGAGGAGGAAGTCTTGGTCAAGAGAAGAAGAGTGAGAGAGCAGGAGAAAAGGGGCGAAAGAAAGAGCGAGCGGCGCGGTGCGCAAGGCGGCGCTCGCTTGTTCAAACGTTGTCTTGCGCATCAGATCCGATGCTCTCATGGCGTAAGTGCAAATCCCAGCTCGCTCGACCAAAGTTTTGGCTCCCGCGCCGCCCCGGGACGATGATTTAGCCTTGATGGCCGCTCGCAGGACGCCTTGTGACGCCAGGACACGACGGTAGGTGGCGAGGCGCCTCAGGACGCCCTCCAGGGATCCTGCAGGCCTTTTGGGATCGATTCGAGGCGCGTGCCACGGGAGGCCTCCTGCAGGCGCCTCACTTCAACGACTACAGGGACTCCTCCTGACAGTGCCCGGGGCACTACGGCCTTGCGGGGGCGTCCCTAGGCCTCCTAAGGTGTAGCGCGATGACTGTCAGGAGGAGGCGCCCGTCGCAGGAGGCGTACGACTGAAGGACTCCGCTGCAGGAGTGTAGGACCCAGGGAGGGAGCTTTGCCTGCCAGGGAGGGAAGGGCGGTGATTCGTGCTTCAGCGTTTGCGTAAATGAGTTTCAGTGATTTCGTCTAGAACGCTTAGTGCCTTCCTTCACGCCCCTGGGTGGCGTCGTCTGGCCTGAGGGCGTGAGCGACCGTCCTTGGAGAGGGGGAGGGCGGGCGCCTTCACCTGGCTCCTCTGTTGTTGTGGCCGAGAGGGTGCGGGTCCCCTGCCAGGCCTTTCAGGGCGACAGGGATGCTTCTTCGTTTTTATCATTCCTCTAATGTCTTGGGTCAGAGTGAACCTATGCTGCGTCCGGAACTGCTTGTCATGCTTGTCCAGACAACTTGTCAGGACCGGCAGGATACCAAGGCTGCTTTCGGAACCTCTGAGGCCTTCATTGCCCACAGTGCAATGAGCTCGGAAGTAAACATTCACTATTTTAGCATAATGGTGTCTTTATTTTATGTGCTGCATAAATTTTGTAGCTCCTTCGATGCATAGGTAACATCCCTGCAGCTAACAAACATGAAAATATCCTTCGATGAGAATAATAAATGGCCATAAAATTACCAACCAATATCTCATGGCTGCTTGCAACTGCCATATTTACATACAATTGCTATTGTGAGGTCATCTCATCTCGCTCACCCGGCAGCGAAGGAGTGCGAGATGGACAAAGTAGACAAGTCTTCCAGGACGCCAAAGTAGGGGTTCCAAATGATTAAAATATCTTGTCAAACTTATCTAACTAGTTGGATGAGGAGTTCTGAATGCATTATTAGTACCTTGTATACATTTTCTGTGTGGAATTTCGAGGGTATTTTTGGAAGCTACTGAAGCTACTGGCAGTAGCTTTCAAAACCACATATTTTCCTCATAGTGATTTTGACTTCTCTTTCTAGATTCACTTTAAACTTGAAGAGTTAGAATTGCTGCTGGATTGTCAGGTGACTCCATCGTTTGTTCTGTGGCAAAAACCTGCAAACCTCAGCCACACTTATGCGTGGACTCAGACTTGGTCCTTATGCGATGATATATTACCAGGAAAGTCTGTATGTTTTCGAGTTCTAGTCAGAATACATTTAAGGGAGTTTAGGCACAACAAAATTTAGGGAATGGTTGAGTCAACAAAATGTTATTTGATGTCTTGTATAGCAAAGAGGACTAGGGTTAGGGGTAGTTTGCTTCACCTCACAACTTGTTTGTAAATAGTCAAGGTTGCTGCCAATTTATCCTGCATACGGAACTACTCATTGAACTTGGACAGACAAGGAAACTAGTGAAAAATAGAAAAGTGCAGAAGCCAATCCAACTTGTTTGGACATGTCATCAACTTAGTCCTCATGAACAGAATGAGTTTGATGAGATGGGTTTGTTTGTAAACAAACAAGATAGTGAATATCAGAAAATAACTTTGAAGAATCAGCCAAAATTATGTATGCCCACTAACATGAGGATATGCATAGTGAGTGTCCAGTAATTCCACATAAGCAGATATTTATAATAAAATTGCAAATGTCATTCAGTTTGTTTTGAGAGCTCTGAACAGAAATAACTTTGTTCAACTTACTAAATCTTCTGTTTGAATTGGAGGAACAGTTACATTAGTGCCTGAAATGTCTATCTGTCCAAGTTGCAACACAACTTGACACTGTGTGTATTAAATGACTTTTCATAAGATTAATCTGCCTTGTAAGGATAGTGTGTTCATGATACGCATCTGAGAGGAGCATTGTGTAATAGATTATTCACTCTGAAGATTCTTGGCCTGGGAAATGTGCAGGGCATTAAAATGGCTCATATGAATGCAGGCATTAGTATCTCCTGAATGTGTATCAAACTTTTCAGTGATTTTCAGAAAAGATGTACTTTTCCAACAGAACAAATTGCACAGAATTACTTGTGATGGTTTTTGTATAGACATCAAAGTTTTATTTTACAGAGGCAAGCTGTTATGACAGTATTGGTGGTAATTCTAGGTAGTGTCAGGTTGTTGCAATACTCACACATCACACTAACAAAGACCAACAAACTTCCAGCTTGTTTATTTACACAAGATATATATTTTTAGACCTTTTGATTTATTGTTAAATGAGGTACTGCTTCAAGGTCTGTCTTGAAAATAAGTTTGTGGAGTTCAGATAACATTTGTGTAATTTCCAAAGGCTTGGAGGTCAGTGCTTAATACCATGGCAGCATGATTATCTACTTTTCTAGACCATGATATAACCTCCCAAAGAGTAGGGATACAAGTCTCTGGTTAAACTTTACAGTATGGAGTTGTTCTTGTTGAGGACAAAAATCTGCTGTTGTTTGTACAAGAAATAATCTGCAGACATGAATATGAAAGGCACAAACAAAGGAAAAAGATTGTGGAAAGAGTTGCTCACAGCAGAAGTCTGCTAGGTGCTCCTGAGTTTCCACTCTTCCTGTGCACACCAGGGTGAAAACAATGTTTCTGAGGTGGGTGATGAAGGATGAAGCCCCTCATTAACCCTGCCCTTGTGCAAACACCCTGTCATGGTAATTTAGATTGTTGAATAGATTTTATGACATGGGGTAGGGGACTTAGTCTCTGGCAAGTGTCTGCATTCTGTAAAGATTTACATAACTTTGATAATTGCATTACAATTATTTGTATGATAATACCATTAATTTTGGTGTTAATCTCCAGTTTCCTTGATATTGGGGCTAGTATGCTTGCTGTATTTGGTTTCTGCAACCTTTAGTTCTTTTTACAAGGGACTGTATTTTTAAAGTATATATCAGATTTGTTAATTTACATCAATTGGATTGAGTGACATGCTTCATGTATAGGAATGTCATATCCAGTTTTGCACAGATGTTATAATAGAATTTTCTTTGTGTAGTCAAAAGATTTCTCAATATTCTTGAAGCTTTGCTGGTACACAACTAGGCATAGGAAAAGGTGTAAAGAAAGAAAGTGTTTCAACTTTTCTTCATGTACACGCGTATTAGCAATCTTATCCCCAGTTTAAGTCTTGCCTAATTTGGAGATAATAGGTAATACGAAGTTGTAGTGGGCATAAAACTGAACAGGATTTAATCTCTTTATTTGCTGAGGAGGCGATGTTAGCTTGGCTAGTTTGGGCGGTTCCGAGGCAGGAGTTGGCCAATCGCAGGTCAGGTGCGGCTCTGTATTGATGGCCAATCAGGATCCACTACAGCACACTTAGGTATAAAACCGTACTGGATTTTATCTCTTAATTGCTGAGGAACCAAGTACAACTGTTGCCAGGTCAACAGACGAGGTGCGAATAATAACTCCGCTTCAGGTCCGGCAGCTTATGGACCTAACCGGTGATGTTATCTTGGCCAGTTTGGGGGGTTGCAAGGCAGGAGTTGGCCAGTCACAGGTCAGGTGCGGTTCTGTATTGATGGCCAATCAGGAACCGCTACAAAGTGGGCTTTTTTTCTTTTTCTTTTTTCTTTTTTTCTTTTCAACCTCAGTAATTGGTCAACCACTGAAGGCCCTATCACACTAGCACTTTTTCCATCAATTTTTGTGTTTCCATCTGAATTTGAGGCTTTCTTCAAGTATCATTTGCAAACATAACACCTCCCAGACAAAGAGGGTTACGACTGTTTCAATCTGACTAATTTCCATCTTGATCTTGTGCTACAGAGGATCTATACAGCTAGAACATTTTTTTTATATAGATAAATTAGAGAGAATGAGTGAATATAAAGATAAGCTTATGTTTTAGAACATTGGTATATACAATATACATCATATTTCTTTAAAATAATGTAGTATGTATGAGAATGTTTGTGTGATTCCCAGAACCTCATACCAATAGTGCCATGTTTGTTTACATGGCAATATTTGCTGCCTTAGTAATGGGATAGGGTCAGTCAATTTTCATATGGAAAAAGTGATAGTGTGATAGGGCCTTAAATGAATTATTGTAGTGTGTATGTGTCTATTGCTATTAGCTTAGCAGCCATAAAATTTGTTGACAGCAAGAATTTCTTAGCCATTGAGAACTGGAGTGAGGGTGTGGGAGGTTGCGGAGAGAACTGTAGTCATGTTGTCAAATGTAGCAAAGGTATAAATGAGAATGAATATCTTCACAATACAAGATGAGTCCTGGAACTTGACAAAATCAGAGCGCAAACTCCAATCTAGTGCCGCATTGGCGGGACGCCCGGTAATGTTTACTTTTCCAGGTGTCTCATATGTGTGACACCCGTTGTAAGTAGGTTAATCACTCATTGCTGTATGAGGATTATCATATTGAGTTTACTGGTTAATCTATTTGTATATTTCCAGTAACTGATTTGTTCATGGGTTGACTTTGTACAGGGTTTTGTGGGACATTTGTTTGCAACTGCTGCGTTTTTAGAGCCTCTTGCTGCTTTGAAAGCCAAAATTGCAGAAGCGTTTTGATAATGCTGCAAAGGTTACATATGCTTTTTTTGCAGACTTCGCAAATAAGATTTAATGAGATCAGGCATAAATATTATTGATCACTTCACAGCTAATAATGAAAAAGCTTGTAATAAGATTTTTGCATATTTTTAAGTAATTTTTTCTGTATGAATAAAAATATTGATATACAGGATGGAAGT